GAAATAGTTGTTGCTGCTTAAACTCAAGCCTGTTCTAATCCAAATTAATTTGTATGCACAGACAAGCAATAGGTATTTTCCTTGTTGTCTTGTCTTTACCTTGTAATTAGGCTTTTACTGGACATGAGGATGGTTGGGCAATGTCCCGGTCTCCATTAACTGCCAAATCACTGCAGTGTGTGGGCACTCCTCTGCAGCCTCCAAGAGCATAATGATTATACCATAATCCTTTGTGTTAACACGTCACATGCATGTTGCAAATCCTCTGAGTTTCAGCATTAATTGAAATACCAGTATTAATTGTGGAAAGTTAGTCACACAAACTAAGCTGGAAGGGGAAGCTTTTTGAACCAGCTGTTTTGTGACTGTGTGCGTTTCGTAACTGCTTAACTCTGTGACGCAGGAGAAATGCTGTGATGCTCTGTGGTGCTGGGATCCTTGTGTACACTGGGGTCTGAGTGCCAGAAAGTGCTTTGGAAAGAAACTGCAGGTGGGAGCAGTACTGTAGGCTGGTGCTCTGGTGCCTCAGAGGGGTGCTTGGGAGCTGCTTTAGAAGAACTGGAGGCACCCTTGGGAGCCAAGCACCCCAATTCCTCTCCTTCATCAGGGCAAGGTAAATAATGGGGGGAGCAGAGGGCCCTGGTGTCTTCAGTAGATGAGAGCAACAGACATACTGTTGGGAAAGGGCACTTTGGAGCAGAATCAGTCTCTAGTGCCCAGCATGTGCCATTGAGCTGTGTTTTTTTCCCTTGCTGAGAAGAGCTTGTATCTGTCAGAAGAGCAGGCAAAGCTCAGGGGCTTACCTGCACAGCTTCCTTAGAGAAGGAAAGAAGTGCAACTGTGTAGAATAAATTTGGAAGCCAGGACATTTAAAAGTGAATCACTTAGAAACAACGTCAAGAACTCCTTTTAAAGCCAAGGTAAACCCAGAAAACAAATGTTTTCAGATGTCCCCATTCCTCTTAGAGGTTGTACTGAAAGAGCTAACTTCCAGCATAACCCAGTTGAAAGCAGCTGCTCTTGGTGTACAGAAGCCTCTCTCTCTCTTTGAGGAAAGGCCTGCTTTTCCAGGCATGTGTGGCCAGTGCTGTCCTGTTCATAGGTCATCGTGGTACTTTCTGAAAGCGGCGTTTCCAGGCGAGGGAGGATAGAAAGAGCTTTTTCTCTGTGCTGGAGCACTGAAGCATGCAGAGCAGCGCTTCCTGGGGATGAGCTCTATGCCTGCTGGAGGTGTTGCAATGCCTGGTGTGTGAAAAATAAACCCTTTAGAGACGGAGAGATTTCCTGGAGTCTGTCACCCTACCCTATCCATTTTGAATTTTTTCCAGGTATTTTCTTTAATTGAAAGTGAGACCAGATTTCCGTGGTAGTGTTGTGCTGGTCAGAATGGATAACTTCCCCAAAACTGCTATTTTTTAGGGTATTTTTAGACCTAAGGGGTAGACTTAAAGAAGAATAGAAAACAAATTTATAGATATATAGGGAAATGATGGTAACACTTAACATCCTTAAGCACCCTAACCTTAATTACTTCAGTAGATTTTTTTGAGTAGTATTTTATGGAGAATTTCAGAAATTTCTCCTGCATATATTGCACTCTGTGCTTTGTAGGGCACCTGTTACAGATGACATTTTGGTGTCTCTTTGTGTATACATTGGCCAATTGTTCTGAAAAAGGTATGTTAAAAAAAAAAACCAAACCATATTTTTTTCTCTTTGAAATGTTAAATTAGCCTGTTGTTTCCATGGTGCTTCTGTGATTTATTTTATTTATATTTGTTTAGTAGATACCCACAGTCTAAAAAAAAAAAAAAATTAAAAATCACATCAGTAAAAGATGAATGATGCGTGTTAAAATATGGGCAGATTTATGGGTAATGTGATACATGGTTGGAGATTCCTAAAGAGTCCGAAAATATCTATCACCACCTTGCATCGTGTTACATTCATTCTGTAAATACCTGATAGCAAATATTTTGCTGTCTCAAACAGAAGAGAGATACTGTCTGTATTGTCCCTCATCTCTGTTGTAGTTGTAATCTCACACTGCTGGGCTTTTTGTAGCTATGGTTTGCTGCTGTGAAGTCCTGGCTGCCTTCACAAGGCATAGTGGGAGGGCTGCTGGTGGGGAGCTCGAGGTGCTCCCTTAGCCCTGTCTGGGGTTCCTGTGATGCCCTCCTTGCCACGGGGAAGTGGAGGGTGCTGACTGGGCTGGAGGGACAGGGGAAAACTAATGGAAACATGGTGGGAGGTGGTGGGCTTGAGAGATGTAAGGAAGTAGGTTTGTTCAGCTAATCACAGAGGCGAAGGTATTTGTGGCTGCTGAGAACGGGCTGGTAGGCAGCTGTCTGAGTCCCAAGGGTGATTCTTGATTTGCAGAGGGTCAGTTCAGAACCCAGGATGACATCTGAAAAGCACCTTTGAAGACTGCCAGTAACTGCATCTGGAAGGCAAAACTTGTGTGAAGAGGAGGGCTGGGGGCATAGGGTTTTGGTTTGAGTGTTTGCTGTAGGCTTCCTGCGTAAGCACTGCCCAGCCTCGGAGTGCCGTCAGCTGTGCGTACAAGTGGGGACAGCGTTTCCGCTCCTTCAAGTGTGCTGCCAGTGGAAAGGAGTTAACCCCTGTATGAACAACGTCAAAATAGTGGTCACACCAGAACAAAGTGAAATAGCTAAACTCCACCTTTGTCTCCAAATAGATTCAGACGAAGTGATCTTCTGCACTGAGAAAGCTGAGTGGAGGTTTGCAGGAGGCAGGGGCTGCTGTCATCCCACTGTGTGCAGTGCACATGGTAAAACTTGGTAATTCAGTGTCCAATCCTTGACACTGTCCGATTTTTATGATTGTCAGAGGAGCCCAAGAGGCAACGGATGTGCCGGTGCACTTGCACACACAGTGATAAAACATCCATGCCAATATAGGCTGTTGCTGAGCTGTAGTGCAGCCACAGGCTTTCTATCGCTGCTCATTTACATCCCCTCCTCTTCTGAGCTGTACTCACTTGCTGCAACGGGTGTGAAGTCAAGCGTAGCTGCTCCTGGCTGCCTCCAGCTGCGTGCATTTTTGTGTGAGCTCTCACAGAGCTCTGATCACGATTTAGAATTTGTGTAATAGAAATTATGAGAGTCGAGGCCATTCATCCACTTTGCCTGTGGGCAGAGAACAAAAAGGGTATTTGTACAGTGAAATGGCACTGAATGTTCTACATCACTGTTTTATGTTTACAGAGCAGAGGGCACAAAAATAGCATAAATGGGAACAGTAATGTATGTTAGCACACTTGTAGCTCCATTTAGCCTTTTTTATTTGTAACTATTTTTGTGGTTCATCTGTGTTTTAAAGAAAGGAGGGAAAATTCTCCTGCCTCTCTACCCTTGTTTGAGGAAGGTGATGGGCAGTATTTTGTGGTTGGCTCTACTGTATTGTGAATAGCTCTGCATTTTGTTTGTCACCTGACAAGCTGGTTTATATTTAGATTAGGATAGAAAGCGTGTGATTCTGAAAGCTGTGTGTTCACTTGTGCAAAGGTCAGACAGTGTGTGCTGAGTTATCAGAATGGGGTTTTAATTGTTTGCTTTTACTTTTCCTGTATTAAGAGTTACGGTCCTGTTATGTCAAACATGCATTCCTTGAGAGGAAGGCATCCAAAAGAGAGGTGTTTTGAAATCTGAGGAGGCTTCCTCAGTACCAGCCAGCACAGCAGGTCTCTTTGGAGGAAGTTTGGAAAATCCTGTCCTTTTGGTGTTACCATCTCGGTCTCATCTGAACACTGTGCCATGATGCTGATCAGAGCATCAGCTCATGGGTGGCAAATGCCATCCGTATTTGAAATGCCATCTATAAAGCTGTGGTTTTGTTTTTAGCTGTTATTCTTCAGAACAGTATGGAAAGCTCAAGCTGGTACACCAGGGAACATGACTATCCACTTCTACCTTCTTAGCACCCTGAGCAATTAAACACAAAAGGCTTTGTTCCCTGGTGAATTCATTCTTAAGAGGCCTTTTTAATTTTAGTCCTTAGTTTCAGGAAGAAATAATGGGAATTTGTCATTGACAAGAAGGCTGCATCTCTCAAATGTCGTGTGAAGGATTCACTCCATAATTCATGGACTGGGGAGAGTGGGTGTCAAAAGGAGTGTGCATAATGGGTATGAGAGATTTCAGTTCAATGAAACTATTGGTCTTAAAGGCAGCTTTTCTCACCTTCGTGATATTTTCTTGACCCAGATTGCCACACTTTTTGCTAACTCATCCAGATATTTTTAGATTTTCTTAAGTAAGAATGTGGTGGGTTATTGATTAATTTTGTACAGCTTATTCCCCTACCAATGCAGTTGGGGACTTGCACAGTAATACCAGAGCAGTGCTGATTGATTTGTGTTCTTTCTGTCACTGCTGTACCTGTAAGCCATGCATTTGTGTGTGTAGAAGTACTACTGTTTCTTATCAGTCCTCCTCTTTCCATGGATTCTGTGAGTTTTGCTTGTTGTGTGAGGAGATGTGTATTGCTGTTGGTGTGCTGAGAAAGGGACCCTCTCCCTACTCTGCTGTAGGATGTGAAAAAGAACAAATCTGACTTGGGGCTGCTGGGGTTCTGAACGCAGATGTGGACTACTGGCTTCCTAGTTGCTGGAAGATCATAGCAGACTCAGACTTACCAAAGGGAGCTTCTGGGTCTGCCAGATCTCTACAGGCTGGAGGGGTCACCTCATTTTGGTCCGCCACTGCCCCCCAGCTTTGTCTGTGTTCCTGTCCTTGGTGGAGTAAGTTAACTTTCTGACTCTCTCTGAAGTGAATTAAGGAGCACTCATATGATTTTCCTCTTACAGTCAAGCTGAAGGTATTATGAGCTCTGACAGAAATGTGCTAATAGCTGAGCAGCAGCAACAAAGTTAGCAGCAGTGATTTCACCACGAAACTAACCTCCAGCAATGGAGATGCAGTCTTTATTTTAGCATTTCTTCTTCTAGTGTCTCTTTCTTGTAATGTGTTTGTGTGCAGATACAGGAGGCTCCTCTGTGCTGTGTGTGAGTGGTCAAACACCATCTGCCTGGGAGCAGCGTGGGGCACACTGATACCTAGTTACCTAGAGCTGGGGCTGAGCTGTGCTTCAGAAGCCATTGCCTGTGAGTACGGCAGGAGTAAGCAAATATGTGTTAGTTGTGGAGTAACCCGATTTCAGTGGAGTTTCCTAGTACAGTTTACAAAAGCTGTGAGATTTAAAAATAGATAACTGACTGAAGCAGGAGCTTTTGGTGCAACTGTGCCTGCATGTACGTCTGCAGGAAGTGAGTCGTACTCTTACAAAATCATCAGCTGAAGGATTTGTGACTTTTGTGATATTTCCCATTTTGGGCTAAGTCAGATCTCGTCCTCTCTCTAGGCTTTTCTTAGGCACCAGGAATGTCTTCTGAGCCCACTTCATCCGCCTCGCAGCAGTCCCCCACCTCTCCACCCTCACCCAGTTCTCTCCACCTGCCTGAAAACCGCAGGGCGAGAGATCGCTCCCCCTCACCCATGAGAGGGTACCTCATCCCCAGTCCGCTGCCCACACGACGGACCAGGACGTTTTCAGCGTGAGTACTGGGAAACCTGCATTTCATAGACACAACCAAATGTTTGCCTTTGGGCAGAGTGATCAGCCCCTGCCGAGGTGAAGGGGGGCAGGGCAGGGTGGGGAGGGGTTGGGGTTGTATCTGGAAGGTGCTTTGGTATTTTACTGTTATCTCTTCTCCAATATATTCTGATGCCACTAGACTTCTAGTGCAAATCGCCTATAGTTTTTCAATGTTCCGTTTGCATAAAGGATGTTCAAAGTCTTTTCCACTCTTTCAGACCAGAGTGTTACAGGGAGGGGAAAATACCCTGAGATTTTTCAAAACAGACTTTGTTGTCTGAAGCCTTGATTCACTTCAGACACTGGATTGTGGCTCTTGGGACCAGTTCCTGTTAGTGTTTTTTCATCAGCTGTACCTCCTCTTTTGGCATGTCCTCTCTTCTCACTGCTGGTGAAGCACTGGACCACATCTCACTGGAGGTTTTAATTCTTTCAGTCCTGACACCTGTGCTACCATCAGCTAGGTTACATTTTAGGGATGGTCCATGACCCTGTCACTTTTCAGAGGGCTTGTTTCCTTTTCTTATTCAGCTTTCACATCTCCATCTTAAACTTGCTCAAACAGACTTGTAAAAGAATGTTTGTTTTGAAGGTGTGAACCCTGATCTCGTTGGTTCTCTAAGATTATATGAGGTTTTCCATAAAATGAGATGAGGTTTGTTGCTATTTGTAATTATTTGAGGTAGTGATCCTACAGCAGAGCTGGGTTTCCCTGAGTTTTCCTGTGGTCCCATGGTGCTGTGCAGGCTACTGTGAGCCCCCTGCTCCCCAAAAGGGACTCCTCCACAGCACAGCAGCAGAGGATGGTGTTGCAAAATTTGGCCCGTGCAAAAAATTCCCAGTGCCTGTACTGGGCCCCCAGTGCCTTTGCCGACCTGTAGAAGTCAATGTGGGCTACTTTGTTAATCTCAGTGGCCTTTGAATCAGGGTGTAACCTGAAGCTGTGGTCAATCCATTACACTTCTGTCACAGTTTTGCAATTCTGTGTAAGGGAGATCTGGCACTGCTGAGTGAAACACTGTGGAAGATCTCAAACCAGCAGCTAGCCTGTTTTGTGCTGCTTCATCTAGTTGGTATGCTTTTTCTTTTTTGCTTCTTGGAATTACCCAGCTCTTTTCTTCGTGTTATCCATGCAGATTTAAATAGCATCAATCTCAATGATGCTTTGTATTATTACTTCTGTATTCAAAATGAGGTGAAAAGGGACAGCAGCAACAGAAGAAAAATTTATACGTTGCCAGTTCCCAAAGCCTTCAAATGCCCTAAACTTTGTAATGGAAGTAGATCGCTAAAAGGAACATAATTGACTTGATAATTGGGATTGCCCTTGAAAAACAATTCCAAGCTAGTTTGTCTCAGTGCTGTGTTAATAATGAGCTTTTCTTAATTCTTCTCAGCTGTTAATCCTAGTCTGGTTCTTACAAAACTAAAGAATTTGTAACTTGCCTTCCACAGTTCTTTAATCATTAATTAGTGTAGGAATCTTGCTGTATTTGTTTGCCCTGAAAATCAAAATTGCTCTAAACTTTTACTGTATTTTTTTTAGTGTCCTCTTTAAACAAGAGGAGCTCTAGGTGAGCTCTGGCCCCACATTTGTATACAAAAAGATGGATGTGACAGGCAGCGTCTTATTCATGGGATTATTTAGCTTTGGTTCATTGCAAGTGTGGGACCTTATCCCCCACAGTGCTTTATCTCCTTAAAAGATGCAAAATTGCTTATTTAGGGCAGTGAGTGCTTTTCTGTGTAACAAGCGCTTGTGGGGTCAGGTGCATCAACAGCTTTATAGAGCTGGAAATTAAGTGATTTAATGGAGATTTCTTCTTTCTTTAACATTTTCAACTGTATTTCTTTAGTGTTAGTTTGATTTAAGGAACAGTGCTGTTACCACACATTTTAATGATTTTATTTAGACTTTGGTAAACATTTGGGAAGGCGATGTCAATATTGCCATGATGCATGTAACCAAGTGGCAACACAGTCACTGATTTTGAAGAATTGCACCAAAATCCTCTTCTAACACAGAAGCAACCTACTGGATAGTCATGGGATGAGAAGGTCCTGATCTAGTAACTCCTCTGTGTAAACCCAGTAAGGTGTCTAAAGCAGTTGCCTTCATTAATTTGAGTGAGTTTGGATGGGTGGAGATGCAACTCGTGATGGAGAAAATAATTTAATCACACAGTTTTCAGGATGGGTCATAGTTCATGCAAGTTGTTTTTCTTGATGGCAGTAAGTCATCATAAAGGTTTGTCTTCAAACCTGTCTCCTTTTAAGATACAGTGGAAGAGGAGATCAGTGTTGAGTATTTGTGTTATGTATACCAGTTAGGCTTCATGGCCTGCTGGAGTCATTTGAAGGTGAAATACTGACTTCACTGGATCCTAGTCTGACAGGATAATGATAGACGTGCATGCAGAGGGTGTGTGTGTATATGTGTATACATACATGTGTACACATTTATACATGTCATTATACACTTCATTATCTCGATAATACATGCACACACTTACTGTTAAATTTGTGAAAGCACATACAACACCTAGGTGCACTCTGGTAATCCTGAACTCATTAAAAGTATAAGATGCTTACATTAGTATAGTGTCTAAAAGAAAATTTGGCAGGGTGATACAATAGGTGGATTCAAGATGGCAACTGATGGATTATAATGCTAGCAAGCATCTTCATTGTTTTTATCTTCCTTAAAAAGGCTACAGGCAAAATATGTGCAGTGTGTGAAACTGGATATTGAGCAGTTGCTACAGAGGAGTAGACTCACTGGGAGAGAGTATTTGGACCACTGTGCCTGTTTGCTTAGTGTGCGCTGGCTGACACCCCTGGAAGCCGTCACATCCATGCTCAGCAATGAACTGCTCTTTTTGTGCTTTCTTTTGCAGAACTGTGAGAGCATCGGAGGGTCCCATCTACAAAGGTGTTTGTAAATGCTTCTGTCGCTCCAAAGGTCACGGCTTCATTACCCCTGCGGATGGAGGGCCTGACATCTTCGTACACATCTCTGAGTAAGTCGCCTGGGTGGCTGAGGAAGGCTGGAGACTCATTGGCCTTAATTAATGAATGCTTTTGATAGTTCAGACACAAGAATGGTTTATAATCTGTCATACCTCGGCAAAGAGCAGTTATGCAGAAGTTATTGGCAGCAATAGATTATGCTATTCTTTTCCTGTAATACAATAAATCTATTGACTTAAAAATTAGAAGATAATTCTGGCAAATCTCTTAGAATAAGCTGTGCAGTTTCACCCAGACCCAGAAACTTGCATTTACCTGAAGCAAATGATCTAGCCAGTATCCAGTTTTAATTTAAAGATTTATAACACTAAAAATTCACTCCTACTTTGTACTGCTTGTACCGTTGTTAAAATAAAGGTTAATTACCTGTACTGTTAAGAAAAGTCATACTTTTATTACTTCCTTGAATTTATCTAGCTTCAGTTTTGAGCAGCTTATAGCTAAAGCTTTCCCTGTTAAAAGGTTTGTTATTACCTCCAGTTTTTTGCCTTGAACCATCACCTCTGAATCTACCTTTTGATAAACTAAACAGATTAAACTTTTCAAGTCCCTCACTGAGAATTTTTTCTCCAGTCTAAAACAGTCTTTCCAGTCTCTTTTCTAAGTGTGCTGTAGAATTGAAATATCATTTTAAAACAAAACACCGTACACATATTTTCAGTATATGGAGATAAAATCTCCAGACTCCTTTGTTTCTCTTTCTGAACATACAGTAATGACATTAGCCCCCTCATCCCTAGTCTTTCACTGAGTTGCTTATCTGCTCTGACCTCGGCATCCTTTGCAGCGTCAGAATTTGGTGCAGTCTCAGATTCAGTCTGGCATCCCCAACAACAGTCTTTGCATTCCTTGTTCCTAGATGTATGACTTTGTATCTGGTTGCACTACAGCACATCTTACTTGAATAAGCCCTGCTTGCCAAGGGATCCAGATCACGCTCTGTGACTGTACTGTCTTTGCTTGGCTAATCTGCAAGATTTAATAGACAGTTTTGTGTTTGTTTTTTAGATTGAGATGTTGACTAGCATTGGGGCTGAAACTGGTCTTTGAGGGCATGTATTAAGATGGCTCAATGTTTATTCTCAAATAACCTCTTTTAGATCTATCACCAGTTTTTGGTCTACATATTGTTTACAGTGTTGAAGTTGTATAATCCTTATTCGTTGTTTGGAGTGCTTATCCAGTGAAAAGTCAACAAAACCCTTGCCAAAGTTACTCACATTGCCCCAGCTCTCTTTCCTGCTTGTGTGTGTAACACGTGTCGTCAGAGAAGGAGTACATTGGCCGTTTTCCAGTTTTCTGAAATGTTACTGCATGATGGGCATTGGCAAGCTAAAGCTTTTTAGGACTCGTGGGTGCAAATGGGCTGAGTGATCTGACTTATGTGTTCAACCCAAGGAAATGCTATTAATGTCTTTGTTTTCTTTCATCTAATACAAATGCACAAGTTCTCCTTATTTCCTGCATAACTTTAAAATAACATTTCTTACATGACAATTAAAAAATTCTACTATGAACATCTAGTCTGACCTATACAGTTACTGATTAGCAAGGGTTTAGTTAAAACAGCCCTCTCACAGAAACATGAATTCTCAGCCCTCTAATGAATTCTTTTTAAAGAACTGTCTGTTCTGTTTTTTTCCTCTACATTTTCTCTTCCAATTAATTCGGTAAAATTTCCTTCAGTTATCTGAAATTAACCCTTTTAAAACCCTAGAGGTAACTTTTTGATTGGGGCTGTCCTTTGTTTGTCTATACAAAATGTGAACTAATCTTTCAGGTGTTTCCCAGTTCCTATCCTATGGCCCAACACATCTTCCTCTCTGGGCCCAGACCCCAGTACTCAATTCTGGGTATTCTGGTAATTCTGCTCCTACCCTCAATCCCCATCCAAGCAGCCATAATTCTCAGAAACTCCAGTGGTGTTTTTCTGTTTGGCTATTTAAGATTCCCATTTGTCTCCTATACTGAAATCCTTTATCACATTATGAAAAGTATTTTTTTGTCTGCTGTGATTGGTGGTCAGTGCCAGAGGCCCCCTCTCACAGGAGTCCCCTCTCGTGGGCTGTGCTAGTTGACCTATCGATCCTGTATGCTTTCAAAATGCTTTGACTGTGAGCCATCAATAAGCTATATTGGAGTAATTGTGCCCTGAGTGTGGTGTGCCACCCGCCCCTTTCTTCCATGCGCTAAGTCTATCCTGAAAACACTATTGAACGAGTCACCAAGGTTGTAAATGTTCATGGGCAACCGCACTTCCTGATGCTTTTTCAGCATGTTTATTTTGCCAACATGTGTCCAGTTCTCTGCTTGCTCTCACTCAGCTGTGCCCTCGGGCCACCCCAGCACCGGAAAGCTGGAGCAGACAAAGGATGAGTGGGAGAGCCATGGGGCAGGCAGGGGGTGATGGGCTCTGGCCCGTTCAGGTACAACCTGCCGCCTGAGCTCCAGCTTCCCAGGCCTCAACCTCGTGCTCTACCTGCTGGACCAGGCTGCTTCTCTTCATTTTTAATTTCTTCATTTCAAGCTAACGCTCACGTGGGTGGGGAGCTGTCTCTGTACGCCATGCTGCGGGACGCTGCAGCCTTCCTCTGGTATGGCAGCTGTCTTAAGCTCACTGTAGAGGAGATGACTGGAGAGGCCCTCTTCTACCCTGTCTGCTGCTGGCAGCCCTCCTGGCAGATGCTTTACCCAATGCACTCTTAACAATTTGAGTTCTGGGGATCCACTGCCTCCCTGGGTGATCTCTGCATGTAATTAACAGACCTGGCTCTTAATTGTTTCTGATACTTAGCGGACATCTCCCTTGCTTTCAATGTGGCCCTTCTCTCCTTCCATCTCCACAGCAGGTAAATAAATGATGCCTTTCCTCTTTAAACCTATCATTTATGTGTTCAAATACTGTTTTTCTTGCTCTTTCAGAAACATTTTAGCAGGGTTAGTTTGTATGAAATTTGTAGGACTGAAAAATGTGCTTTATGCAACTTTACTAGGCTCAGTTCTGCTCCTTTGAAGCCAACAGGATATCTTTTTCTTTTGAACCAGCACTGGGCCACTGTTTTAAATGTTTCTTATGTGCGCACTGTCTCAGAACTTAAATTCAAAAATAGCTGATATTTCTGCCTCAGCCAGTTACTAAAAAGTGCTATTATTGAAGTACTGAAGGTTTCAGCATATTGTGTTCTTTAATTACTCTGAGTGTATTTGAATTGTTGGAAACGGTTTTTAGTGCTAGAGGGTAATGATATCAATGTCTTAATTGTGATGCAAGGCAGCACTGGAAGGACAAATTAATATTGACTTTCATTTCAGTTTATTTCACAGTGGATTAGAAACATTGCTCTTTATTCATGGGAATTACTTATTGCAGCAGCATTCTATAATCATCACTGGGGTTCAGGGGACTCCAGTGACTCTGGTTTGTGTAGTGTGAGTTTTGAGACACTGCTTATCTTATCATGTGATTCTTTTCCACCTGTTTTACTCTGTTAAACCTGAATGTGAGAGACATATCAATCTGTTCGCTGTCTCAATGTGGTATAGGCATCTACTTGAGAAATGAAAGAAGATTGTTTCTCCTGAATCAGTTCTGCCTGAAAGCTAGGATTTCAGAAACGTGGATAAAATGGTACGCCAGTTTGGATTCAGCAAGATAGTCTGTTCTGCTGTGTTCATCACTAAGCTGTGATGACTAGTGAAGGTTTTGATCATTAGAACTAGATGCCTATCTTACAGATTAATACAATTTTAAACATAAAAATTTACCAAATTAAATTTTTTTCTTCCCTCGATTTGGGGACCTGTAAGGTGACACTTCAGTGAAAATGTCTTCTGTAAAATAGGATGTTTGTTTCCCATACCTTTCCATTTCTTTTTGTAAGGTAATAACGCTTAACATGGTGTTCCCACTTCCGTAAATGAGCATTAGCCTAACAATAAGGTTAAATATATGTGACATTCAAAAGCTTCTCCACTTGGCGTCCACAAAATTTTAAATTTCAATATCTATGTGAGAGCTTAAGGTGAATATAGGCATGTGGACATGAGTGGAACTTGCAGCAAAGCTGCATTACTGTGAAGTTGGACTTGTGAGGTGTGAGTATAGAGTACAAGAAATGTCGGTTTGAAATGCAAGTTTTAAAAGTGTTTTCTGTGTGGCTTTTTGTCTGTTTTAATGAGTGGCTCTGAAGACTGCAGAGAAGATTTGATTTGGGTTTTGATAACACTTGTGTGGACCCAGTTCTCCTTTTTAACAGATTAGGTACAAATGTACAAAACTGTACAATTAACCAGGGCAGCCTGGAGTTCTCTGGAAGTGCTGACACTGGTAGGTGGTAGCGTTTCCTTTTGAGTTGTCCTCGTGGGGCAGGTCGCGGCATGGTGGCAGCTCTGGTGGCAGCAGCTTCCTGGCAGCACTCCTAGAACCTTCTTGTGTCGATCTGCGGGTAAAGCATCTGCGGCTCAAACCCTGTACCACAACTGCAACACCGTCGGTGCTCGGGATGGACAGATGAGAGCCAGCTCATGCACACCGACCTGAGGGGCCGTCCTTGCCTGCAGATGCGTGGCCTGGCGCAGCGAGAAGGCTGTCGTGCCCCTGCCACCCTGCCGAAGGCACCAGCCACGGGCTCGCTGCCGCTTTCTGCATTGCATGCACAGCGAGCCCTGCTTTGTGTTTGTTGGAAACACTTCTCAAGTTAGTATAAACAATTGTACTAGGAAAATGTTATGGCTTGTTGAATGTGGTGAGATTTTGTTTTTCCTCAGTTTAATACTGCGTCCTTCTCCAGAACAGAAAACAAAATGTGCTTGCTTCATAGTAAGTGTAAAACTCTAGCTGGCAAGCATGGGGATGGAGGTGTTGCTGAGATGGTAATTCCAGATAATGTCTCTGGAAAGCTGGAAGCAAAAGCAAATTCATTTGCCTGGAGTGAAATTTTTTAAAAGCCCTTAATTACGTTTTTAATAGTGATGTGTGCTGTTAATGCTT